GAGGCTGGAAAGTCCAAAGTCAAGGCACCAGCAGATATGGTGTCTGATGAGGGCCTCATAGGTGGCTGTGTTCTCATTGTAACCTCACATGGAGGAAAAGGCAAGGGATTTGTCTGGGGTTCCTTCTATAAGGGCACTAATCGCATCCATGAGGACTCCACCCTCATGACCTAATCACCTCCCAAGGCCCCACCTCCCAATACCATCACCTTGGGGATTAGGATTCAACATACGAATTTGGGGGGGAGATACCAACCTCTAGCCTATAGCAGGTGATATAAGAAAAATCTGAAAGTTCTATTATTTTGTTCTTATACCCCAATCTATCTCTCAAGAACCACTCTGAGGCCATGGTTTTCAAACTTCAGGGGACCAAGAACAACCTGGAGAAACTGTTTTCTTGTCTTTTTTTTTTAATTAATTAATTTATTTTTTATTGTTAGTTTCAGGTGTACAGAACATTGCAATAGTTATCCTTTTCACCCCTCACAAGGTAACAACCCCCTTCCCCCATCTATTGCCCTCCCATCCCCAATATCATGCTTATCTATTACAATTCCATTGACTCCATTCCCACTCTCTACTCCACATCCCATGACTATATGTATATATAATTGTAGTTGACATACAATATTATTCAACATCAGCTTCAGAAATACAGTGCAGTGGTCAGGCCTCTATACCGCATGAAGTGGTCTCCCTAACAAGACATGAGTCCATCTGGCCCCCTAAAAAATATTTACAACATTATTGATTATATTCCCCAGACTGTCTTGTCTATCCCTGAGGCCATATTGTAGTTACCAATTTGTATAGTCTCATCCCTTCCCCTTCTCCTTCATCCCCACCCCCTCCCAATTAGCAACCTCAGTTTTTCCTCTGTGTCTCTGAGACTATTTTCTGTTTACATTTGGAGAAACTGTTTTAAACGAAGGTTCTCCAGACCCCAGCCCTAGAAGTTTTGAGTCAGTTTTTCCACGGATGTGCCTGTAACTGGTCCTTATTCTGAGCTCTCAGGCTGACTCCTATTCTAAAACTCAGCCACCAGTACAGACCCTTCTGTTTTCCGGCCATTTGCATTTTCTGTTAAAATTTAAATACTGTGATCCTGCTGTAATCTACCTCCTGGACATCCTCTTGATCTCAAGGTGAATTCTAAACAATAAAAGTAATAACAGCTGCCATTTATTAGTTCCTATTTGCCAGGATTGCTAAGGGCTTTGTCTCTTCAAATTACCTCCTTTTATCCACTCAGATAGCTATCATTAGTCTCATAACGTAGATGGAGAAAAGTCAAGTTCAGAGCATGAATGTCTTGCCCTAGGTCACCCAGTTAGGAAGTGTTAGGCCTGGGATTTGAACCTAGAACTGTCTGATTCCAAAGCCTGGACTCTTGATCACTAAGCATATTGCCTCCAAAAGAAGTCACTGTAATCTACTGAACCAGGCACATGGCTACACACTTCACATGCAAATCTCTAATACTCAGGACATGTCTGTGTTTATAGAGGTGTGAATCTCAGTCCACAAATTCTGCTGTGCAAAAAAAAGGCCTTTATTTCCTGTAACCCATCTGAATTACAACTCCAGACTCTTATTCTTCAGGACCTCCTGAGTTCCTTCTCCCCACCCTCCACCACTAGTTATGCTATAGTTCTGGATCAGACACAATACCCAGGCCTGGGGGTGGGGGTGAGCACCTGGTCCTGTGTCATCAGCCCACATAGATGGCCACTGAGGGGCCTGTCCTTCCTATCTATATGACCTATCAGCACTGGAATGCTAACAGCTGCTCACACTCCCACGCCAGGCATAGGGGCATCTTTTGCCCACCTGCCAACACACGCAGCCATTTCCTCTCTGGGTTCTTACCACCTTTTAGTAGAGTTCCTGGGAAGCAAGGGACTGCCCCCTCTGCCCTCATGGACAAATCTCCCCCTCCCCCACCCATTCGCAAAACCCAAGAGACTGTATCTAGTGATGGGAAGGTGGGGGTGTATTTCTCCCTTCACACCCCTTGAAAATATCTTCAGCCTTTTGCTTGTCTTTGTTGGTTAAATTTGCTTGCCCTAGGTCCTAAGTTCTGAGAAGACAAAAAGACTCGTAGGCTTTTCTCTACTTTGCCCTTCTTAAGTGGGAAGAAGAACAAGGGGGAGATGTTGGGAGAAAAATAATAGGAAGTTGATATCTTGAAATAATGTTTCCAGCTCGTGTCATCCCCTTTTACAGGTGAGGAGCTGGACCTCATTAAACTTAAGTAACATTTTGCACAGATAGTAGGTAGTAGACCCAAGATCCTGGGGTGGGGGGGGGGCACTCAGATGCACTGGTGTCTTGCTGAGTTAATCTGCAGTGTGGGGTGGGGGGGTGGGGGGGGTTCCCGACAGCACCCAGAGGACAAGAGATGAGGTGGGCCCAGAGGAGAGGAGCTCAAGGGGCATAATTAACTGGTTTTAGGTTTTAGCTTTCTGGGAAATAAGAAGTAAAGTGGAACCCGCAGATACTGCTTAACTGTGTAGGGTAGGACAGAAAGAAACCAGCCAGGGAGTCGGGGCTGAAGCCTCTGCTCAGAAATCATGCATCTGAGTGATGGTCCCCAAGCTGCAGTTCTATGGAAGGCGGTGCAGCCAGAGGACAGCACAGTGCCAGGCTTTGGCCTAGGGTCCATCTGTCCAAATCTGCTGGCAGTCTCAGAAGACTCTGTCCGTTTCACCTGGGCAGTGATCCTCTGGGCAGTTATGTAGCTGCCTACCCAACTTTCCACCTGGATATCTAAGAGACATTTCAAACTCAAGATGGTCAAAACAGAATTCCTAATCTTCCCCACCAAACCTGCTCTACCCACAGCCTTCCCCATCTCAGCTGATTTCAACCCCATTGTCCCAACGCTCAAGCCAAAATCCTTGAAATCATCCTCACCTCTTCTCTTTTTCTCACATCCCACATCCCAATAGTCAGGAAATCCTATTGCATTTACCTGTAAAATATATCCAGTGCCCATCCACCATTCCCCAATCCCACTGTTACCATGCTGAACCAAGCCACCATCATCTCTTGCTGGCTCACTGCAATAGCTTCCTAACAGATCTCTCCACTTGCACCCTTGCTCACTAATAATATGTTTCTCGCTTGACAAACCAGAATGATCTTTTAAAAATATAATACAAATCATGTCACCCATCTGCTCAGAATGATTTCCCAGTGCCTCATAGTGTAAAAGCCAAAGTCCTTACAATGACATCTCCCTAATCACTGGTATCCTTGCTCTTCCTGGAACATACCAGTCATGTTCCTACGTCAGGGCCTTTGCACTAGTTGCACTGACTGTTCTGGCTGTCTGAGCTCTCCTCCCTTAGATGTCCACAGACTAACTAATACTTTTGCTTAAAGTTCAATTTCCCAACAAGGCTCACCCTGAACATTCTATTTAAAATCACTACTTCCTCCTACCTCCTTAACTCTGCTATACTTTTCTTTTTTCCATAGTTCTCATTGCATTCTACCAATCTACATAAATCTCTTCTTTATTATGTTTATTGTCTATTATCTGACTCCTCCCATAAGCTTCACAAGGACTGGAATCTTGGTCTGTTTTGTTCACTTGTATATCCCAAGTGCCTAGAACAATGTCTGGTGTATAGGAGGTATGCCCCCTCCCCCACCAAAAAGTTGAACAAATGAATAAAGTTTAAATAAAACTAGAGACTCAAGGAATATTATAAGAGTCGTACACAGTGGCATTTCCCCTGCCCGGTTTTGCCAAGTGCCCTTACTCCTCAGGCCTCCTCACAGCGTTAATTAACACAGAGAAGTAAAGGTTGTGTTTTAGGCTCTGGGGTCATCTCTCCATGAGGTCCCAGCAAAGGCCTCCAGTTCTGCATCTTTGCCCCTTCTTACACTGAGGTTAGAGGTTCTCTGCCCCTATCAGTTTTAGAAACATTGCCCCACCCGTCTTTGACCACAGGCACCAGCAATTTTGCTGAACTCAACAGAAAACAGATCCTCTGGGAGCTCTACACATAACAGAGCCCTTTGCTTTTTCTTTGGGCTTAACCTGCAATTTAAAATACCACTGCCATGAGCCTGTATACATTTTGCAGTGCTGTCAGCGCGGGACTTAGGCAACCGTGTGGGAGTCACCTACCCTGACCTTTGACAAAATTTCCAAACGCAACACATTGACTTTAAATTGATTAATTTGAAACTGTGACCTTGGCCTAAGAAGGTAAGAGTACATGACAAGATGTTTTATTTTAAAAATGTATCAGGATAAAAAACACTTTTGTAAATCAACCTTTTTTGTAATAGATCAAGGTCTGGTAATTAAGTTTGCAAGCTTGTTGTTAATTATGTGGCTAAAATTTTTGATATCAGAGGGATTATTATTATGAATTTGTACCAAATGGGCAGTTAACCAAGTTTAATATTTGGAAGTGCTGGAAAGGCTGCATGAAAACGTTAGATGACCTGAACTTTTCACCAACAATTCATGGCTCTTGCATCACGACAATGCACCAGCTCACACAGCACTGTCTGTGAGGGAGTTTTTAGCCAGTAAACAAATCACTGTATTGCAACACCCTCCCTACTCACCTGATCTGGCCCCCAATGACTTCTTTCTTTACCAGAAGATAAAGGAAATAGTGAAAGGGAGACATTTTGATGACATTCAGGACATCAAGGGTAATACGACAACAGCTCTGATGTCCATCCCAGAAAAAGAGTTCCCAAATTGCTTTGAAGGGTGAGTGGACTAGGCACTGGCGTTGGTGCATAGCTTCCCAAGGGGAGTACTACAAAGGTGACCATAGTGATATTCAGCAATGAGGTGTGTAGCACTTTGTCTAGGATGAGTTCGCGAACTTAATTGTCTGGCCTTGTACTTAGATTTGTGTTTGGGGGTAGCAAAGAAAGTCTGAACACTAGATAACATGTTTAAAAGTTAATTATTAATGAGCAGCCTTTCCTAACAAAGTATCAATAGGCAATCTGGTCTCTAGCTTCAGAAATTAGTGAGAAGACCTCGGACCTCGGGTGAGACAGGAGAAATGGGAAGTTCCCTGTGTGTCTCCATTTTCTTGGTTTTGAGCATCTTTATTCAATCAAGTGCCCATGGACAAAGCCTAGGACTAGGTAAGAGCCTGCCTTTTCTCTGGAGATGGGCATGGATTTTTTTTTTTTAATGTATTCACAAAGAGTCCAGTTGTTGTTGACTATGTGAGAGCTTCCTTCACAGCACACCAAGTGGTTCTGTTAGTGGCATCACAGGTCACAGGGACAGGTAGCCATTTGTAACAGGACAGAAATTTTAGGAAACCACTGTGGAAGTAGAAGTCTTCTAAATGCGCTTGCAGCTGGCATTGAAGTCTCTTGCAAATCTGAGTCAGAAATAATCATGCTAAGACTTCTTCGGTGGAGAATCATCTGGGTTTCCAGTCTTCCTGAGAGTTAATTTGGCATCTAATTTGCAATTGGGAAGCACAGCTTGCAATGAAATGCTTTGTCTTGCTGAGGTTGTCTAATTGCTAGGCTCTTCGAAGAGAGGAACTTGTAGAGTCCTGGTTCCAGCCAGGTTTAAAGCAAAGATATCATTGCACATTTTCTAGATTTCAAAGTTTTACTCTGAGTCTGAGAAATCCAACAGCAGTCATGCCTATTTGGTCTGTAAATTCAGAAACTACATTGATGGCCAGAGATCCAAAGGCTTGACCAGGTAAGCAGATTCCAGATTTCTGGCTAAACAGTGCACAGGATCAATAAATGATGGACATGAAGTAAACCGAACAATTTGGCCAAATACGACTGGCATTTTGGACTTTCTTTTTGCGCTGGTTACTGGTCAGGAACTCATCATTCTCAGGTAGAGGCCTAGATTTTCCTTTCCTCAAAGACTGCTTAGAGGGACCCAAAAAAACTTTAAGAATCAGGAATTTACTCACCAGGATGTACCTGAAAATTCCAGAAACTTTTTTTTCTCCTTGAGGAAAAGTGCAGTTCTTTGTAGTTAATATTATTTTGTATCCAGGTCAGTTAATAACTTAGTAGTATTCATTATTATCATCCACTGGGCATTTTGTGTGCCAACCACGAGGTTAATTATTTTGTATACATCGTCTCATTTACAAAGCCATGTCCAAAAACGATGATAATAATTTAGAGCCATACAGGCAAAATTGCTGATGATTTTTATTCCCTGGGTTCATAGGGATTTTCCTGAAGGGCCTGTCCTGACCTTTGAATCAGAATGCTGTTTTGTTTCTTTTTTTATTGAAATATAACATACATAGGAAAGTGCCTATATCATAACTGCTTAATGAATTTTCACAATCTGAATCCGCATCCCAAAAGCCTTCCTTGTGCACCCCTAAAGCCTTAACATAGATTAGTTTGCCTTATTTTGGAACTTTCTTTAGTGGACGCATTCCATATGTGCTCTTTTGCTTCTGGTTTCTTTCACCAACATAATGTTGGTGACATTCGACCCTGTGGCTGCGTGTGCTGGTGACTCATTCATTCTAGTTGCTGTCGCATTCCGTCGTGTGAAAAACCACCCTCTGTTTATGTATTCTGCTGTTGATTGGCCCAGACTGGTTTTCAATGGAGACTTGGGGGCTGGAAACCATCAATGCTGAGGTGGAGGTCAAAGGGTTGGACGACCTCCCCTGGGCTGCTGGGTATTATCCAGATTTCCTTCAACATCACCCCATGCTAGTCAGCTGCTGCTTTCCCAGGTCCTGGTTTGTCCAAAAGCTGAGGGAGTGGCCACAATTAGCAGGAGGGCTCCTCAGGAAAAAGGATCAGAATCAGGAGGCCTCTTGTTGCTTTGAAAGCAGAATCTCTTGGCAGAATTCTTTCTTCAAGGCATGAGCAGATCCATGTGCGTGAGGCTGTGCCCATCTTCCTGGCCCTGCCGGGAAGCAAGCATCTCAACATGGAGCCCTTGTCAGATGAGGATCTACACTGGTGGTTCTCAACTGGGGGCAAAACTTCCGCCCACCTCAGGGACATTGGGCAAGGTCCAGAGACATTTCTGGTTGTCACAACTAGGAGAGAGTGCTATTGGCATGTAGTGCTTAGAGGCCAGGGATGCTGCTAAACATCCTACATTGCACCCAACAACCTCCACAACAATGAGTTATCCAGAACAAAATTTTGTCGATAGTACCAAGGTTGAAAAACCCTGGTTTATATACTAAGCATCAACTGTCACTAGTCATGGGCCAGGAAGAACTCTCTCCAGGACCCTTCATCCTTAATCCCATCCCTCCCAGCCTACTTGTTTTTATTATTATTAATGACATTACTAATGGACCCACTAATGTACTGTGCAACCAGTATGTACCCAAGCTGCACAGACATACTATCCCACCCTCACTATGTGGTTGATAAGCCAGCAGTTAAGCGATTTGCCAGAGGTCCCGTGGCTAGTTAGGGCAAAGCAGGGAGAGGCACCTAGGGGTTAATCTGTCTGACTGAAGTTACCAGCCTCTCTGTCTTCATTGTACTCACACCCAGTGTTTTGACAGCCAGCGGTCCCTAGAAAACCATTTTGCTCAGTTTGTCTCCCAGGAGGCAGGTTCGGGCAGTTGTTCCTACTCATCTGCACCAAAGGGAACAGGATGTGGTGAGCCTGCTGAAGCCCCCAGAACACAGAGCTACCATCACCCTCATCCCCAGACCTCACTGCCAGAGGCCCAGGCCCACCCCACCGGTGTTGCCATCAGAGCAAACACTGCTTCCAATGGAAGCTGCTGCTCCCAGACCGCTGCACCTCCCACCTCCCAGGTATCCAGCCCTACCACCTACAGGGGCCCGCCCTCTCCCTCCAATTCCAGTCACAGCTTCCAAATCCTAAAAGCAGCTGATGCCCATCTATTCAGTCACTCATTCATCCAACACATGTGCACAAGCATCAGCTCTATATAAGCAATGCAGTAAGACAGCGATTCTCCAACTTTCTGGTCTCAGGACACCAGTACATTCTTTAAAATTATTTAGAACCCCAAAGAGCTTTTTTATATGGACTACAGCTATGAATATTTACCACATTAGAGACTAAAACTGAGAAACTTTTTTTAATTTTAATGCTTTTAAAAATAACAAATTTAGGGCCAGCTGAGTGGCTCAGTTGGTTAAGAGCTTGCTCAAGAGTTTGAGCACTGAGCAACAGCGGTTCGAGTCCCAGCCCAAGCTGAGCTGCCCCTAAGCTGCCAATAGGTGGCAAGATGGCTCAGCTAAAAAAAAAAAAAATTATCGTGTTAATATGTATAACATGATATCATGAGAAATAACTTGGATTTTCCAAACAACAACAAAAAAGTGAGTCAGAAGAGTGACAATGCTTTACCAAAAGATTTTGCTAATTTCTTTAATGTCTGGCTTACCGGAAGACAGCTGGATTCTTTCATCTGTTTCTGTATTCAATCTATTATAATGTGTTGTTTTGTTTGAAGAAAATATAAGGCCTCCACATATAGGAAAAGGGAGGACATCCTCAGAGATCCTAGGGCCTCAGCCCACACTCAGAACCACTGCATTCATGCAATAGACACTGTATAGCAAGTCCCTGCCCTCCACGGATTCGGTGTCAAATCAGGGGCTAGAAGGCGGGAGCATCTGCCCTGAAAGCCATCTATAGAGAATGTAAATACAATAATAGAACCTACTAAAAATTGGTCTTCCTCTCATTATCACAATTCTAAATAATGTCAGTGGTAAAAAATAAAGCTCCTCCCCCCAAGATAGTTTTTTGGTCAACATTGTAAACAACTGCTGTGGTTACTGTTGAGTTTTATTAATATAGTGGGGGTGCAAAAAAAAATGTATACAAGTAGACACTTCGGTCAACGTTGCTCAAGCAGTAGTTTGCCATAATCAGAAGTGTCTAGACACTGATGGTAACCACTCTGAGCACCTCTTGTAATTGCAGAAGTCAAATGTGACTTGTATTCATCTTTTGTTATCAGTATATATTGAGTATTACAATTTTAATAGTTTTTTCCTTTCTTAAAATGTGTATACTTTTTTTTGGCACCCTCTGTATATGTCAACTGTAAATGATCACACTTTCATTATCCTGTAATAAAAACTGTGCTCTCCATTGATGTTAATTTAGAGAACTCCCAGTTATGTAGTTGGCCCCTGACACTCCCAGGTTCAATGGCATGTGCTTATTACAAGAGGAAGTGTGTAATGATTCAGAGTCCTTCCAACTCATGTGGGTCATCTCATGTCTCCAACACTGTGGTCCTTACAGCATGTTCCCACATTTGAACAGATTCAAAGGGAAAAATAATACCATAGTGATTATAAAGACAAAGAAACAGAACCTGAGGACTTCAATGCTGTTATCCTATGTGATCACTTAAGAATTTTTGTGTTTAAAATTTAAAACAATAAAACAGATTTTACGGTGAACTGTGAGGTATAATATTTTGTATGGTAAGTAAAAATTTTGGCTCTTACAGGAAGTACTTTTAATGCATTTGAGTATCTTTAAAGTTCAACTATGTTCTTTTTAAAATTGTTCATTGCTCTAAAATTAAAGAACAAATCAAGAAAATAGCTGATTTTTGCATGAATGTTACTGAAAATAATTGTGTCTTACAGAGCAGAAGGATATTAAAATAATCTATTCTGGGCTTCAAATACGTAAGGTATACCACTGAATCTAACAAAGAAGATAAGATACGCATATAAAATTTTTTCAGCTATTACAGAACCAGGCATATGATAAGTACCACTAGAGAGGAATGCAATGGACTGAGTATTTGTGTTCCCCACACCCCAAAATTCATGTTGAAATTCTAACCCCAATATGACGGAATTAGGAGGTGGAGCATTTGGGAGGTGATTCAGTTGTGAGGATGTAGCCCTCGTGAATGGGATTAGCGCCCTTATGAAAGGGACCCCAGAGAGCTCGCTCTCTTTCCACCATGTAAGGAAACCAAGAAGCAGGTCCTTACCTAAACCTGACCATGGTGACACCCTGATCTCAGACTTTCAGGCTCCTGAACTGTAAGAAATAAATTTGTGTTGGTTACAAGCCACCCAGTCTATAGTATTTTGTTATAGCAACCAAATTGACTAAGACAAGGCGCAGGCAGAGATGCAGAGGAGTTTACTCCCAAGTG